TACTCATTTTCCATATTAAGAAGCAAACCCTAGCTGATGCTGAATTCTGTCCTGATGTGGCCATGCCCCTTCCAGCCCCTGACCTAACTTGAAGATGCAGATCAGGATCACACCCTGATTGTCATGGTAATTTAATCTAGATTCACTTGCCATCAGAATCTGGCTGTATACATCTGTTTTCCAACACACATTCTCTGCAGACATTGACTAGAGTAGCACCAAAGAAAATGTCCTTGGCACAGTGTGTATACTGGGGGAGGAAATTAAAGAGACTGAATCTGATCCCACACAAGACTTTATACTGAAATGGAAGAAGCATTTGGTGGTTGGGATGATCAGCAAGTCACTGCCTGTAAATATACAGATATATGCATATAGAAAGAGGTAGGTTCAGCTGAGTTACTTCCAGTTTATGCAAATGTGACAGCAGGACTGAACCAAGTGAAACTGGATTGGTCAGAACTTCTCTAACAAACTGTTTCATATGCACTCAGTCTGTGATTCAGTTCCTTACAGCAGTCCATGGTGTTGTATTTCATGCAGGGCAGATGTTGTTTGAGAAAGAGAATTCTTTTTATGGCTCTCACACTCAAAAATGGGAACAGAACACTTGCTTGTGTTACTGGCTCCAGCTAATGAGTTACTAATGCAGTAAGGAGCTGTATGGATGCTACTAAGTTACTCATCCACTGCAAACCTTTTACATCAACAGTTTACACAAAGCCAAACCAAGATTAATTTTAAAGTTTTTCTATCTTTGCATTACTTGACTAATCAATGTATTCTATTTATCAATATTTTCTCTATCAGAATTACTGATACTTTGGATTAGAACATGATCAAGTAAATTCAAGACCAATAAAAACAGTTTTCACAGATGTGAAATCTTCATCTGCTATTGCCTTGTATGTATAAAGAAAAAAAGCATAAAAGAGTAATATTCAAAAGCATCTCAGCTGTTGTTTTATCAAAAGGTTTCTGTATCTTCCTGAGCACTTTTAGCACAGGCATTGATTTTCAAACTGTCCCTGTCAAGCTATCAAAGTAAGTTTCTAATGTGTTTTTCAATGAGACTCAATTAGCTATAAAAGTCATCAAAATAAACACTGCAATTATGGTCCATAGGCAGTGAGCTGAAAAGAAATCTTTTTAAGACTAATGTTTGTGATCCTGTTCAACTACAAAACAAACATGAGGTCACAGGAAAGAAACAAGTCTGAATACTGAGTCAAATCCAAACAATTTCTTGTCTGGTAAAGGAAATGGAACTAATGCTTTACTAGAGCTCTTAAATGCCTTTTCAAAATCTGTGAAGTTAATTAGTCCAATGGTTTCATATTCTACTTTTAACCACAAATGTGGTGCTTTCTTAGAGCCAGGATATCAAAAACCAGCATGTCAGTCACATCTGTGTTTAGTCTGCCTGCTAAGACCTTCCTGAGTGCTCCCAGCTTTAGGAGAACTGAGAGGGCAAGAAGAGGGTCTCTCAAAAGAGTAAGACATACTGTACCTGTCCACACTAAGGGCACAGAGATTAAGGACTGTGATTCCCACTGATGCCTTCTGTATAAAGGGAAGGAACTTGCAAAGAAACTGTCCAAATTCAGAATCTCCAAAAGGCCACTTCTGAGCAAGAAGCTAAAGAGAAGATATAAAATAATCAGAATATTTCCACAGCAATTTAGGAAGTAACAACTGTAATTATTTCTTGTCTGAGACACAGCCACTGGAACCTTAAATGTGTGGAGAAAATCTTGTACATACATAATTTGTTCCATATTATGTCTTAAAGGACTAGCATCACATGTACTGCAAGGCAACAGAAAAGCATCCATTGGGAAAGACATGAAGGAGTGGCTGGACTTGAGTATTTCCAAGGAGTCATTTACATAACAAATATGAATACATTGATTCATGTGAATAATTAGCATAGAAATCCTTTTAGCTACACTTGTTAAAGCTTTAAGAAGCACATGTACAAAACACAGGGTACAAAATCAGTCAGGATAGTCAAATCTGCAACTAACTGCAGCCACAGATCTCCCTGTCCTGGTGCCTGGCAGTAAAATGGCAGATTCCATGTAAGTAAATCTAAAAAGTGGAAAAATGATCAAGTTCATAAAAAGTACTGAGCTCTAACTTAGCTGATTCCACTCAAGAAAGGGATCATGCAGTCACCATGAGTAGTTCTTCTGAAAAACAAAGTCACTGAACCCTCTCAGCAGGAGGGGAAGAGTCACTCTTGCACTACTGTCTGTTTTAATCTTTAAGTCTCTGCCCCTGAGCCTTTGCCAGGGGCAGGGGTAAGATGAGCTCTTTGTGTGATGCAGCCCAGCAGTTCTTAAGCTCTTCCCAACTTGTGCTGAAGTGGCTGTGTAATAGAAAGCATCAGATTTGAGATGGAAGCATCCAGTGCCTGAGCCAGGCCTGCAGCTTTGGCAGCACCCTAGTGGGTGCTGGATCTCCTGTATGACACATTTTTAAAGGCAGTAATAAGAATTGTCTTACTGGATAATTAATTATGACTCCTGTGCAGTCGTTGGATTTCTATTAAGCCTTACTTAAAACACACAATATTTGGATGGTACCATCTACATTTGGAGATGTTTTTATTGGCTTCAGAGGACAGCAAATGATAAGACTGTGGAGTAACAATTAAAAGCCAAACCCAAGCTTCTGAAAGCTAAAGCCTCATTTTGTTGGGTTTTTTGAAGGTAAATCCAGACCTAGGACTGTTTTATGGAATTCAAACAGATTTTAAGTTTTAAAAGAGTTTTATTTTCAAGTGCATGAGAAGGAGATAAACTGGGAGCACCAGTATGAGCAGGTGGGTCCTGTCAGCAGAATCAGAGAAACCAATTCTGGTTGTAGCCCTGGGCTGTGGTATTCAAACTAAACGTTTTATTTCTATTTAAATTATTGTTAAATTGAAGCACACCAAGAATCACTCCCTTTGACAATATAAATGTTAACTAGGGGAAGTTAAAATTCCCATCTCTCTTTATCTCATGAAGGTAGGAGTCCCCTTTCTGCTCTTCCAGGGCACTCTGCTGCAGAGTACAGGATGTTTATCACTGAACACTAGATTTGTAGGAATTCATCTTGTCTTTATAGTCAGTCCTCATCTGGCTTTTCCACATTCCCTCTTTTTTATAGCCATTCCCCAAAAAATAATACCTAAAAAATGGAGGAATTAACTATGTATTACCTTCTCCCTATATCTCTCCAGGACAAAATTCATTTTGTCTTTTGATTACTTGTATTTCAAGGCAGATTTTATCAACTCAGTTTTCAACCAACTGGGTGTTAATACTCTGAAGCAAACATTTAATGAGCAGTCATACACATAGCAAAGATATTACCTGCTAGGCTTTCTATTTTTTACTGGATTATTTTTCCTTTTCAGCCCATTATTAAAATAAGATTTGTCAGTATAAGCTATAGAATCAATCCAAGTTTTCTACTCCCTATTTCTTGAGAGTGTTTAAGTATTATATACATGTAGTTCCATTTTCTTTTGATCTTTTACTGAGAATTCTTGCCCTCTTCAAGGAGAGCTGAGCATTTTATTTACTGTCAAGACCACAGCAGAGAAAACATGAGCACCACTGCAATGGTATCCCAGTTTTGGATGATCAATCTGATGAAGGCACATGCCCTTGTGCCAGAAGGGTAGGGACTGGGGCACCAGGATTGGTGATTTAACTCTTGTCAGTACATTCAGTCACAAAGGTAATGAGAGCATACCTGTGAGCTTTGATTTATTTCTCTGATGTGTATTTAGGATGAAATACTTTGAAAGCTCCATCAGGATTAGTTTCTAGAGAGATTCAACTATTCTAACAGATGTTTGCAGGGCATATTTTTTGTCTTTTGCCTACAACTCTTGCATGAGACTTTAGTCGAGGCTGCAGGAAAAAATGTTGGAAAAAACAAGTGATCCAAATCCAGTGTAAATCTCCAACCAGTTGTAGTCACTTGGAATTTCAAAAGGCAACTGAAAGACAGCCACCTATTTATTTGTCTGCACTGACTGTGGCTGGAAGTGTATCCAGCAGCAGAGATGAACAGGCACTTTGTAGTGACTGTGAGACTGTTACTACAAGGCAGGTATTAGCTTCAAAAAGCCAAATGTTGTACTTGAAAAAGGTTCATTAACTCATTACTCCTCCCAGGGGAGCACCATCATGATTGCAGCAGGTACACCTCTTCCCCACACCCCAGGAAGCTCTCCCCTTTTTAAGATTAAAAGTCTTTTATTCCTTTTGTTTCTTCCATATTTCCACTAATGGAAGTCACATCGATACCAAATCATCAGACATTCTTTTCAAGCTGATTTTAATCAAAATCACTAGGATCAAAATGATGTTATTTGATTTTTAAGATTAACTTTGCAATCACTTCCGTGGGTATACTCCACCAGCATTCTCCATCAGCTCTGCAGCCCTTATTTCTCCTTGGATAAGGTGTGACTTTCTTCTGCTGTAGGTGTTTCTAGTCTGCAAACCTCATCCTGCCTTTGGTTTTAATAATTTACATCCAAACAAGTCTACTGCCCTCTGCTCTGCCCTAGTAGGGCACATAAACTTTAGAGGGAAAGAAAACATTTATTTTATATTAAAAAATGGGGCCAGAAATTTAATTAGTCCAGATTTCCTTAGGTAGAACACAAGAACTGGCACTACTGGCTCTGCTCTTCCCTGCTTTTGCATGGTTTAACACCCAAACAAAATCAGGTTAAAATGTTAGTAGATGACACTTTCTCCCTGGACAGAAGGCAAGGAGAAATCAGGCTGATCATCCCAACTGGTACCCCAGTTCTCCATGAGTTGGCCCAGTGGGTTGTGCTTTTGCAAACCCACTCACTTAAATCTTTGAGGTTTCAAAATAAAGACACGTGACAGAAGAAATGCACTTTTCCCCTTGTGCAGTTTGCAGCTTGGGACTGTTTCATCCAGTTCAACTGTGGTGCAATTCCCAAGTGAGAAAGGAGTGTAGTAAACAGGATATTTTACACTGAACTCAGGAACCAGGGTTTCAAGGTTCTACCATCCATCTTATCATAGAATCATAGAACCCTTTAGGTTGGAAGGGACCTCCAAGATCATCAAGTCCAACCCTTGAGCCATTAGGGCTCTGAAGTCCTCTGCTAAAACAGATCAGAATCTGTCAGGGTTGGAAGGGACCACAAGGATCCCCCAGTTCCAACCCCTCTGCCATGAGCAGGGACACCTCCCACTAGATCAGGCTGCCCAGAGCCTCCTCCAGCCTGGCCTTAAAGACTCCCAGGGATGGGGCCTCAACCCCCTCCCTGGGCAACCCATCCCAGGGTCTCACCACTCTCATGGGGAAGAACTTCTTCCTCACATCCAGCCTGAATCTGCCCACTGCCAGCTTTGCCCCATTCCCCCCAGTCCTGTCCTAAAAAGTCCCTCCCCAGCTTTCTTGTAGCCCCCCTAAGATCCTGGAAGGCCACAATAAGGTCCCCTCGGAGCCTTCTCCTCTCCAGACTGAACAGCCCCAACTCTCTCAGCCTGTCCTCACAGCAGAGCTGCTCCAGCCCTTGGATCATTCTCGTGGCTCTTCTCTGGACACGCTCCAGCAGCTCCACGTCCCTCTTGTCCTGGGGGCTCCAGAACTGGATGCAGTGCTCCAGGGGGGGTCTCACCAGAGCAGAGCAGAGGGGGAGAATCACCTCCCTCCACCTGCTGGCCACACTTCTCTTGATGAAGCCCAGGGTCTGGTTGGCTTTCTGGGCTGCAGATCACACATGCCCTGGTCTGCTTCAAGGCATGGACCAAACATGGTACCTGGTGTTTTGGTTGGAATCCAGGTGAAATCTGACTGAACACAGAAATGCCCAAGGTCTATCCTACTGAGTTGACTGACAAATTATGATGATTAACTATGACTTCAGTGTCACTCTCCTCTCTGATCCTAAGCCTGGTTAGTTAGGAAGAAGGGTGGACTGCATCTCTTGCCTGTGGTATTTCAATTCAGTGACTCAGCCAGGACACTTCTGTCCCCATGGAACATCACAGGAGAAGAATGCACTGCATGTTCTCAAGCCTTTCTCTCCTTCCTACAACACACTGCCCTGCAGGACACCCCTCACCCACGTGTGTAACTGAGCTCCAGCACTCTGCTGGAAAGAGGCAGAGGTGGAAGGGGGAAGGAGAGAGAACACAGCCTGTCTCTAGGGACTCCCAGTGCTGGAGTAAACCCCCTCAGCTTGGGGAAGGACAGTGAGTAGAGGAAAACCAAGGCTGGCCTTCAGCTAAGACCAGTACTGAGTACATCCCAGTGACACAACAGTATGGTCTTCTGCTAAATTGGGTTTTTCCTTTCTATTTAGTCTCAAAATGCTGCTGTGGTAGGGCAGGCACACTCTATCTCCTCAACTGTTCTCTGCAGGAAGAACATTCTAATTTTACTACAACCAGGAACTGGGGTTTTTTTTCCATTTTGTGGAGATAAAAGACTGACTGGTTTTTCTGTGGAAGGAAGAAAGGTTATGTGGGGATGCATGAGAACCACCAAAGACACCTTGTCCTCTGAACTGACCTGTGACAGCTTCTTCTGCTGTTCTGCTCATCTTTGCCCAGCTGAGGGAAGGTAGCAGAGGTCTCATGCCATTTCAGGAGTGCCTACAGCCTCTTTCTCCTGCTCTTCTGCTGACTGCTTGCCCAGCCAGGAAAGATATTATAGTTAATGGGCAAACCAGCAACCAAAGTCCTCCTTCCACTCTTAAATCATGCACCAAAGACCCAAGGTGGCCCACCCTGGATGGGATGAATAGACCAAAGTGTTGACTCACAACACAGGATGTGCAGAAGGGAGCAAGCTGGCCAAGGAACCGTGCCATGGCCAATGGAACTAGCCAGCCAAGGAGCCCAATTATCTAGAAGATCCCCAAAGAGAAACCCATCTTTCTCCCCACCACCCTAGAAATTTCAATTTCTATGCACAGTCAGGGAGCCTTTCCAATAACCAAACTCCTCACACAGCACACCCACCATGGAAACAAAGCTCCCAACCCCACTGCCAGCACAGTCAGCTCTTAGAGAGGTGGCTTCTTGCCCCATCTCCAAATTACTGTGGAAGGTTGAGGGCACCTGGTGGTGATCTCCTCACCAGTTCCCACCCAAGGCTGGCCAGACCTTGGGTGAAACCAATCAGGAGGGTCCTTCTGGCCTAGTTGTGGACATCATCCATATGCCAACCCTCATTCAGAGCTTAGGCAGCTCACCCTCACTTGCTTAGGCAGCTATGGAAGGGAATATGTAGTTTTTACACACAAAAAAACACAGATTATACTTCAAGAGATCCTGAAAAGTAAGGAAAAAAAACAAATGTCCTGTTTGTGAAGCAGAACATTCTGTCTCAATGGGTAGAAAAAATCTACTTAGTGGTAAAGCATTCCTAACAACTCCAGACATCTCCCCTGTGGTATTTTTACTGCTTACAAAGTAGGATTAGGGTTTTTTTTTCTGTTTTTCTGTGGTTTTGCCTAACTTCTCATCTTTTTAGGTAGACTGTGTCTCAAGCTGTGCTGCTCTTCTTCAGGGAAGTGAGCTGCAAGGTGTCCTTATGAGAAGGGTGACTTGTTGTAAAGAAATTCTCCCATCCCTGGGCAAAATGTTGCTTTTGTAACTCCTCCAGCCATGCTGTCTTTGTGTGGCTGAGGAGAGGGACAGGGCTGCTAGGAAACTTCTGCAACACTGCTAAACCCTGGATCTGCACCATCCAAACAATTCCTTCTTATCTGCAGAGTTCAGCTGATAGAAAAAAGCAAAAAAAACCCTAAAATATTCTGTTAAACCTAGTGTCTCTAGGTTAAGCACACTTAACTATGTGTCTTAGGGGCTTTTATATTTAGACTCCTAATGTTCTAGGTGGACTACTCACATGTTGCAACTAAGAAAGTATGAATAATTAAGTAGGAATACCAATTTACTAACAAAAAAAAGCCTGATTTATTAGAGAAAGCATCTTCTTCTTGAGCTGTTTGAGCAGTGGACACCCTTGTTTGTTTTATCAGTAGGCATCTTTCACTTTGTACCAGTAATACTTAGGGAAATGTTTGTTATTCCCATTTAAAAAACAAACAAACAGGTTTAAAGCTGGCTAGTTTGCTTCATCTACTTCTTCACAGACTAATGGTTTAAGGAATTAAGTGTGTTAAATTGTAAGGCAGTATAATTTATGGCAATCCTAGCTAGGTCAGTTTTCAATAAACAGAACTCATTTAACCATTTTTCTCTTCAATTGCATAAAAATGGAAGCAGAGACAACTCAGGACCTCCCAATAACATAGTTAAAATTTAATTCTGCAATTCTAAAGGTGAGAGCCTTGGCCTGGAGTGTTTCTAGCTCCATGAGCTCAGGCAAAGCTATGGACAACTTTTCCTGTGGAAGGCACCTCTGTTGTTGCTGTTTCTCTGCTAAACCTGAGAGCCAGTGAGAGCAGCAGGAGAAGCAGCAGTGTTCAGCTCTGTACTACACCACCTGACACTAGAAAAAGAGCTATGAAACCTTAATCCTACCTCTACAGCAGCATAAAATAGAAAAGCTGTCATTCCCAATCTCCTTTGCACTGCAAAGATGTCATTCTTACTGATGGGGAGACTTTATCTCTGAGATAGCTGTTTCTTTACCCAAAACACACCTATTTGGGTTCAGGTGCTATAAATATATGACTGAAAATTAAATTAGTCTTAGTTTGGTACAAAATACACCTATCTGGGTCCAGGTGCTATAAATATATGACTGAGAATTAAACTAGTCTCAGTTTGGTCTCTCAAGGCTGGATTTATAACTGGCACCTTTCCTGTAAAACTTAATTTGTTACCATTTTTAATATTGATTTGATACCATTAGTGGATATACTGGTGGTAATTAAGTGTAATGGGGCTTTAATACATCCCAAATATCTTCAAAGGAGGCCAGTGATTACTCACATCTCCATTCATTTAACAAATTGCTAAGGGGAATCCACTATATAATTACAGTAATTGGAGGAAATAAGGGGGAATTTTTAATTTTAATGCCTACTGTACTGTGAGGAAAGGAGAAAAATGTCCAACACCTCTCCCTGAATCTTTAGCTGCCATTAATGACATCATTTCCTTTTTTTTTCCCCAGCATCACATCTTTGTTAGTTGTATAAATCCATAACACCATGATGGACTCAATTCAATCAGCATTTCAATATGCAGAGTGTCCTCTAATTCTGATTTCAGACTGAGTTTGCCCTAAAAATGAAGATCTCACCTATAAGGTACCATCTGCCACCATCTATTTACACAGAGCATCAGCACATGGCTCAACGTGAGGCTGACTCTGAAGCTAAAAGGCCCTTTAAAGTTCATGATGAAGTGTATAAAGCACTTTCATTTTTAAACTTTAAAGCATAAATAAACCACATTTTTGTTTTTTTTTTCCTTAAAAGACTATCACTTCTACTTTCAAAGTGTGATATTTCCAGTGGCCCCTTTTCACACTGTCACCCCACAAGAGAAGCTAAATGGTGTCACAGATTTTAGTATCCCCAGAGATGCCATTTAACAAACCTCAAAATCACCTCCTACATGAAACAAACCTATTGCTGAATGGTTTATATGAAAAATGGACTCTAAATAATAACAGCCTTTATTTATCAAATACTTCTCTGCAGTGCAAAAATGAATATTTATATATGTTAAAGTAACTTCATTTGTACAGGGGTGCTCAGCACCCCAGTTCAGCTCATCATATAAGATATAAAATAGACCTTTTCAAGTCACTGTTCCTTTAATTTTAAAATCCAACTTGAAACCACAGGTCACTACTTATTCTCAATTAATATGTGGTTTAAAACACATATAAATAAAAATCTCTCAAATCTCTAAGGGCCAAGATTGTGAGGAATGCTTTTTTTTTCACTAAATTAGTGGTTGTCACTGTTTCTTTCATTTTAAAATCCAACTTGAAACCCCAGGTCACTACTTAATTAAAATGTGGTTTAAAACACACATAAATAAAAGTTAAATCTCTCAAATCTCTAAGGGCCAAGATTGTGAGGAATGCTTTTTTTTCACTAAATTAGTGGTTTATTTACTAACAGAAACAGCTGAAGGTTTTACTGAGAAGAAAAATAATAATATCCTACCAACTATGCACCTGTATACAATCCAGAATTTAACAGAGGGAAGCTTACAAAATTTTTGGACAGCTTTCTAAGCTAATATCAGTGATATATACATGAAAGGACTTGGTTCTGTTCAAGCCTGACCTGGAAACATGCAAATTACAGTAGAAAACATATATTGCAACAGAAAAAGCACTGGTTTATGGCTTTCTTGAAAAAATGGGGAAAAAAAACCACAAAATAAATCCCCCAAAACACCAAACTGGGACAGGATAACTCTATACCAGGTTAAAGAATTGCTGAGGGTCTTTTTTTAGACTTTGACATATCCAGATGAAATTTAATATTTCAAAAAGGTTGTGTGATAGAATTGATTTTACTCACTCTGGAATCATTTGGTGAATCTGCTGTTAATGAATATTAAATTAGAACCTTAACCCTCAACTTAACTGACCTAATCTCTCTCCACAAAGTCATAACATGAACCCTGCAGATCACAGAGAGTATTTTCTGTAAAAACTTAAAGCAAGGATGATATTCCAAAACCAGCTACTAGTCCAATGCTGTATGTCCATCAAGGAGTAGAACAGCTCATAAAACATCTTCCCTCCTCAATTTTTTTACTCCCTATAGCAGCTATAACAAATGAAGCATTCCTGTGAAATGCCCAAGGTCACATTTTGGTTAAGAGCTGCCTCCTCTTTCTAAGGAGAGACATTTTTCTCCTTATGGAGGTGATGCCTGAGAGGGAGCTTTTGTTGCAGTACAAAAATGAGCTGTATTTCTCCCTGAAGTGGACTCTTTGTTGACCAAAGAGCAGAAAGAAGCAACCACAGAGAACAAACCTGGAAGGGAACTGTGACAAGAACAGGGCTGTGCCACCTTACCTTGTAGACAATGATGGGAATATCAATGACAATATAGATGAGGTCTCCCAGCGCCAGGCTGGCGATCAGCGCGTTGGGGCCGTTCCTCATGCACTTGTTCTGGTAAATGATCCTCAGGAGAGTTGCATTCCCCACCATCCCCACGATGAAAATGGCACAGGACACCACCGTGTTAATGTATTTAAATGTTTCGGCGATCTTAGTCTGCTGGGAGCATTTGACAGTTTGGTTGGACACCAGGGGCTGCCTGGTGGTGAGGAGGAGGCTGGATTCCATCCCTGAGAAAGTGGAAAGGTGGTTTCCCAAGTCACTCCAGTTGGCAGCGTATCTGTCAGAGCTGTCGCTGAGGGCAAATCCTGGAGCTAGCAGCAGCACAGAAACTCTTAAACACAAAGCTTCCATCCTCAAGTCCCCAAAAAGCAAGGTCAGTGAGACAGGTTTTTTTCAGTTTCTCAATGAGATTCTTCTCACTTCTCCACCTGCAGAGAGAAACAATGAGCAAAACCAAACCAAACGAAACACAGAATCAACACAACAGGTAGACCAACCCCCTACTTCTCACTTAGGGAGGATATCTGAATAAAACTATAAAAATATAAACACCTCTTTATCACCACTGTGCTACACTGAAATCTAGATTCCCCACAGTCTTACAAAAGGCAAACAGAAAATTCCACAAGTAATTGTTGCCTCGGACAAAGGAGATGGCACAAAACCCTGTTAGTTTGAGACAGGATTTGGATGTGAAAAAATATAGTGGGTGAAGTGCTATTATAAAATAGTCTTGCAAGAAAAGAGAGGCCTTGGAGACTGCTGAATGTTCTTTTAGCTAAAATAGTATTTTTTTTCTTTGCAACAATAAGGTAACAATACTGATTAACTGTTAAAGGTAGTCAATTGTTATTTTTCTGAGTATTTTTGATATATTGCAACAATGAGGCTTTATATTAATTTTCTGTAACTTGATAATTCCCTGGAGTTCAACGACTGAAAATACACATATTTCAAATCAAGTTCTGGACCAGATCCAAAGTCCCTAAATATTTGGAGGAAGAGTTTTATAGTCTCTGGGTAGACCTCTGAAAAGCCCTTCGACCTTGGTGTCATTTGGTTCCTGGATGTCATTGCAACTCATGTTCAGTACTTGGCACTGGCAAAGCTAACTAGAAAACATTAAGCTCTTTTAAAGACAAAAAATACTTGGTTTAGTATTGTAAGCAAGAACTCATGACATTTCCAGCTAGGAAAGGAGGCATCATAGCTGCACCTCCCATGAAACCAAGGAGGCCACTCAAGTTCTTTTCCCTGAAGCCTCAGTTTAACTGGAGATAAAGATTTTTTACTTTTACATGTCTCATATCTGCAAAACAAGACAAAGTGCTGCAGTGTTGCCAAAAGAAGGGTAGAAACTAAAGTATTTATAGCTTTCTGATTTCCAGGCAGTCATATAAAGGCTTTGTGAAGATCTTTTTAAATAAATGAATCCCGATTTCATCCCCTATGAGGGTATTAAATTGATAGCAAAATAATTACCAGAGAAAGAACGTTGGAGACAATTTACTGTCAGGATTTCTGGAGGCAGCCACAGTATAAATATTTACTACTCTTAGTCTCTTCTGTTGTGTGTGGTCTGTGAAGTGTGTGTGCACCTCCACACAGCAGCAAATACAACGTTAACCAGCATGTGCCTGTCTGGAGTGTGGAGTATCACCCCTGACCCACCAGGGATCCGTGTTCAACCTCCTCTACTGGTCCTTTGGGAGGAGGATCTCACCAGCTCTGAGTTCCTCAGCACTCCTCTGTAAAGTTTAGTGTACTAAATAAACCCTAATTACTAAATGCTGGTTAAGCTGCTACCTCAGGGCAGCCAGCAACAGTTTGCATGGGAGTGCTTCCACTTGAGCTTCCTACACCTTAACCAGAAACAACAGGCAAATTCGCCTGTCACCCTTTGCAGCCAAGCCTTAATGCTTCTCTTGTTGACTGTGCTGAAGTTTTCCCAATTTACAAACATAAAAACTGAATCGCTGATGATTTAAACGAGTTTTCCAAGTTCAGACTTCCCCAAGGGAATGGGACACAGCTCGGAACAGAACCCAAAGCTCTATGCTAGGTTAGTATCCTCCTGATTTTATCCTATTTTATCCTTATGTTATCTCCTATTTATCCTCATGTTATCTCCTATTTATCCTCATGTTATCTCCTATTTATCCTCCTTATTTTCCTGTGAAGATGTGATAGAGTGTGGTGG